TCGAGACGTTGGATCGCATGATATTATAAGATCTTCTGAAGACAAACCGTTTGGAGGTAAAGTTGTTGTTTTTGGTGGAGATTTTAGATAGATTTTACCGGTTATACCTGGGGGTGGTAGAGCAGAGAGGGTTTTGGCGGCTCTTAATTCGTCGTATCTTTAGGAACACTGCAAAGTTTTGAAGCTAACAAAAAACATGAGATTGCTCGCTGGTCTCTTAATCAAGTTTTTTAATTCATGATTTGCTAAAAAATATATTATTTTTATATTTTTCGGTTAAGAGACGGATTTTTATATCTCTTGTTTAAAAAAAATGATTGTTAGTTTTTTTTTAAAAAAATATTAGAAAAGGTAAGAACTGTCTATTCCCCGAAATAAAGAATCTTAGTTAAAGACACTGACGTTAATGATGGTTTTCTCAATTATGAGAATTATTATAAAGATCTTTATATATAAAGAACAACTCCACTCTCTTCTCATCAACACACGTCACTTGATGATGTCATAAAATCAGATCAAGAGAATTGGACACGTGTCCTTGCAAACAAATCAAACGGACTTCATACATATATTTTTTGGGCCTCATTCGATTAGAAATACCCAGCCCAGGAAACCATGAAGACCATCCTTTGACTTATCAATTAGGGTTGCGACTGCCTTTTCAGATTTCATCTTTTCAGATTTCATCCAGGAAACGAAAATGGGTTGTTATGTTGATTGATCAAACCTATTATAACCCAACATGCACCCTTTTCGTTTTCAATGATTTAGTCTGTACTAGGATTCATCATGTCTTTCGTCCTCTCGCTTTAAAAAACCGATATAGAATTTTCTGGAACGATTTGTCGGTTCGTCTAGATTCCTTCTCCATGGCAAAGAGAATCTGTAACCGTTATTGGATTCATTTAATCGGTTTCACTAATGACCTTCTTAACTCTTATACAAAGCACGATTCCTCATTCAAAGCATCTCTTCTCTTTTCCAGTCGGTTAATCTCTATCTATAAAAAGGGGAGTCCTGAACCACATGATTTAGAGTGGTGAAGAAGATAGAAAGAGAGGATTAAGTGATAAATCGCCAAGAAGAATCAGATCCCTCCGATTCGTCCATTATCAACAGAGAATTAATAAGAAGACCAGTGCTATGGATCTCGAGAGTTTCTTCCTCTTTGCTTCCTAGGGTTTTTCATGGGAGTAGCAGATGTTGATGATCACATATTNAGTGATAAATCGCCAAGAAGAATCAGATCCCTCCGATTCGTCCATTATCAACAGAGAATTAATAAGAAGACCAGTGCTATGGATCTCGAGAGTTTCTTCCTCTTTGCTTCCTAGGGTTTTTCATGGGAGTAGCAGATGTTGATGATCACATATTATTGATCGGAGAGCGAATCTGTTAACTTATTTCATCAATTGAGGGTTGAATTCTCGCTGGAGATTTTAAACACGACGGCGGTAGTGAGTTATGACATACCGAGCGGCCGAACCAGAAGGTTATGCATCTCTTACTTTGTTATTGCTCAATTTGATAAAATGAAGAGTTTTTACAATTTAATTGAGCCGGATATGGGTCATAGCTTATGACCGGTAACTTCTATTTACTGGCTGACTTAATTAAGATTTATACTTCTATTTACTGACTATTACTGACTGGCTTTAGCTTATATAGGCAAAGATTAAAGAAAAAGTAAGTTGTTGCGTCTGGAACTCTGGATAATTATAAACCTCTTGGCTCTTATAATTAAAGGTTTATTTCTCTTTTTCAATAAACAAGTAATTGTAGTTTAACCTAGCTAAATTCAGATGTTAAATAACTTTACCTTTTGTGATCGATAAAATGGCTGAACAAGAAACGATGGTCGATAAGAAGAGTGATGCGTAAGTTCCGGTTACCGTTTTTCCGGCTATTTCATCGGAACAAAAAAGACGTGGAGATACTGCCACTTTTTTCAGATGAAGAAGGGGAAGAGGAAAAGAGCAAGGCTTACAGTTCAGATCTTTGGGTACTACTTTGTATTTCAAACTTTCTTTTCGTATACAACTCATTTTAGTCATTATCAGTAAGATTATATCTATGTCTACTATCTACATATATAAAATTTATATTTTTAGAGTATGACAGAAAGCAGCAGTCTCAGACAATACGAAAGTTCTATACTCGTGAAAATGGAGGAATTGTCAAAGATAAAAGAAAAATTGGTGATAAAGAAGCCAAGTTGTTGAGCATTACTCAAAAAGCTGAGGAGCTAAAAGGGTGGGAAGATGCTCATATGAATCAGATTGAGTTCACAGTGGCCAATGGAGGTTTTGTTAAAAACATAACCAAATTGCTGAGCATTGTAGACTGAGGTTTGATTAGTAATGTTGTATACTAAAAACCACTTCAGCTATACATTTTGGTTTGCAGTTACGACATTACATTTCTTCTCTTTGCGTACATGTCTTCTCTTTGTGTAGGTGTCAAGACACTCACGTAGTACTATAGAGCTGTTAGATAATCTGGATCACAAGCTCTTATTACATCTGACACGTTTACAAGACCGGTGTATACCGTTGTAATGTCATGCCCTTGTACGGAAACTAACATACAGAAACCAAATCAAGGGACAAATAAGATGTTCTAGAAACTCATGAAAATGCAACTTATCATGATTGTAAATAATTGACTCATATTTCAGATAAGTTTATACGCTCAGTTGTTGATTAACATGAGTTTTGCACTAAATCCTAGCATGTGTCATACTGCTTAGACTAACGGCAATGTTATAGACACAGCTTTGAAAAATACATATATAGCATAGTTTAAAATATTTACTTTCAGGCATACTATAATATTAAAAACTGCATAGACCATATATGTAATGTCAGTAAAATATATTTGACAACAAATAAGAAAACAAAAAACAAGTTAGGAAAATAAAAGAACATCAAATATTAAGTAAAATAAATATAATATCTCCCATCACTTAAATTTTTCAAACGAAAAAAAAAAACAATATCATAATATCATGCAAATGTAAAACTAAAAACACAAAATCATCAATAAGGAACAATCAAAGTAAAGTATATCTCGCATGTAGGTTAGACCTACCCTAGTACTACAATGTAATTTTATCACCATATAAAGATTTATGCCACAGATTGGGGAAAATGACCTATTTCAACATGAACTTTACCAATCGTGTATTTTTCTTCCCGAATTTTGTAATAGTGCGTATTTCATACTGAACTAAATAAAAACTTAAAAATACTACATGAACTTTACTCATTGTGCTTTTTCATTCCCGAACTTTATAATACTGCATATTCCACACTAAACTAACTAAAAGTATAAAAACACTATTTGAACTCTCAAAATCGTGCTTATATATAAACCGTCAAATTTGTTTGTCATCCATAAATCTATCAAAATAACGTCATTTTAGATCAATATTATAAAACTAAAATTTTAAAAATACTACATAAACTTGTGAAGTCATGCTTATATATATTAAACATAAAAGATGTTACCAATCGGTTAATTTATTAAAACAAAATCATTTTAGATAAATTCTATAAAATTAAAAATTACTTTTTGGGAGGTTCAAACTTTCACACTAGTGAATAAGTAAGAGCACTATAACTTCTAGACCAAAGTAACTTTCTTGTATAAATTGTGTAAACATTAACTTATATAAATTTTAATCAAATACATGTTATCAAATTTTTATCCTTTTAAATTTATCAAATAAATCTAGAATTATTTATGTTTTAATTTTAAATTTACAAATAACTATTTTATAAATTTAATTTAATTATTATTAATTTAACTATTCACTTTATACTTGTCGATTAGTGTGAGAATTCGAACATTCCACAATTTTTTGGTTTTATAGAATTTCTCCTAATTGGCGTCGTTTTGATAAATTAACAGATGATTAACACCTTTGATGATCAATATATATAGAAGCACAATTTTAAGAGTTTGCGTAGTATTTTTGAACTAATTTTACAGAATTTATAAAAATAGTGTCGTTTTGATAAATTAAAGGATGGGTAACATCTCTGATGATTTATATATATAGGCATGATTTCACAAGTTTATGGAGTATTTTTTAAAATTTTGATTTTATAAAATTGATTTACAATGACGTCATTTTGATAAATTTACGGATGATAATCAAATTTGACGGTTTATATATAAGCACGATTTTGAGAGTTCATATAGTATTTTTATACTTTTAGTTAGTTTAGCGTGGAATATGCACTAATATAAAGTTCGGGAATCAAAATGCACAATGAGTGAAGTTCATGTAGTATTTTTAAATTTTTATTTAGTTCAATATGAAATACGCACTATTACAAAGTTCGGGAAGGAAAATACACGATTGGTAAAGTTCATGTTGAAATAGGCCTTTTTTCCCCCACAGATTGTTAACATCATGTTCAAGATTTTGTAAGCTTATTTTCATTAAATTACATTGATGATACAAATCTTATTTGTTGAAATTCAAATATTAATTAACCTTAGGTTAATCACTAACAATTTTTTTTTTAATTTCATGCAAATGCTCATTTTATTTTGAAAGAAAAATAGTTGCATTGATTTATTGTTATGTTATCCATTATGAAATTTGTTACAGTGAAGATTCTACATATAATTTTATCTCATATTTCCTGTTCTATTTTGTCATTTTAGCGAAAAAAATTTGTTTCAAAATATGTGTCATTTTATAATTTCAATTCAAAATTTGTTAATTTTATCTGCTTTTATATTTTTCAATTGGTTAAAATATGGTTAGGTATATAGGTAATTGTGTTTTTGTTTTGAAAATATTTAAAGCTAAATAATGTTTTGATCTGTGTATACATATTCAAAATGACAACTACAATGAAATATAGGGAGTATAAGAATCTGTGCCGGAGTGTTTTACTTACACTATGATAAAGATCTTGTAAGTTTGTTTCCATTAATTTACGTACATCGAAAATTTATGGAATTTGAACATAGACCTTTTGATGTAGAACATTTATAAACCAAAAAAAAAATCCCACACGAAATTTTTCTTTTATGATGATGATACATTATTTACTTGTTTGGACTGACATTAATAGGAAGTTAGGAACATCCGAACATGGCATGTTGTAACTGAGGCTCAAGAGGAACATAGGCCATTTACCAAATCAACATCTATCTACTTGGGGTACATACTTTTTTAATGAGGGGACACTAATACAAGTATCTACACCAAATACCAAAATTTATAGAAGGAAAACAAATTAATGATAAGAACAACAAAGTCTCATCCACATGAATAACCTAACTCTTTTTTTTTCTCCCCAACAAAAAATGATCCAACCCCACATCTCAATTGTCTCCGATTTAGGAAAACCTCCTTTAACCAAACCCATTTACCCGGTTAAGGGTTCTTACCTTCTACAAACAAAAGCTACCTCTGATTTTCTTCCAAACCGAACCGGTCAATATCCGACGAAACCTTCCTCTATTCTCCAATCTCCTCATATATCACCAAAAAAGGTAAATTTCAATTTTCTTTTTAAGACTTTACAAAATAAATATTTAATTATCAGATACTTTTAAAAAAAAATCTGATCATGAGAATGAATCAGACCCACATGTGATTAGAACATAACCAGCTGGCTCAAGCCAATCAATGGTTGGATTCTAAGAGCCATTGTCACCAACAATGGGGGTCCTAAAAGAATCGGTCCCCTCTTCTTTCTTCGACATTTTTATAAAAAACAAAAGAGAACGTGGGGTCACACACATTTTTGTAGATACCAACACAAGAACAAAGAGACCAACTCTTGGAACTCTAATTAGCTGCCTTAACAGCGATGGCAAAGAGAAAGTTGTCCACACGTTTCTCTCTTAATCTTGGGAATGATTGATCTAATTAGTAGCGCCTAAAACACAAATCTATTAAACAAAGATATGACGCTAACAAAGCACAAGATTTCTCTAAATACCAGAAACTTAAAGCCCTTAAAATCGGCACACAGTCATCTAATCCTTGGATGAGACTAAAGATGACTTTTCGCTTAGCTAAATGCATCATATAATACTGCAAAAAGACAAGTTTAAACAACAATGCTGAATAGAAATGTGATGAGCATTCTATCAGACTCTTGGTAGGAGCCCACTCATTTGCCATATGATGAAAACAACCTAAATAGTGGCACAAGGTGCATATTCATCCACCGACAGAAGAACAATAGTGTATCAACTAGACAAAACAAGAGCCATTCTAATCTTGCAAACAATCTAGAGCTTCCCTCCAATATTCTATGATGGCATCCATAGGCAGAAAAGGGTTGGTTAAGCTTCACAAGTGTTCAAATTTAAATTCAGTGTCCAACTAGTGATGAGCAGAGTTTGTGTTGAGAATATTACCATTCTGTGTAGGGAGCCATCATCATCAATGCGAGTGTCGATACAAGTCGTAAGGCGTCCAGAGAGCATCTAAGGGACAAGGGCGTTTGGAGTCAAGTCTTAACCAGGGCTTGCCACTACCAGACCAATGAAGCAAACTCACGGGACCAGGATGCAAATCACGACAACTACCTCTAACATTGTCCCCACCAAGCCCATGCTGGTTCCACCTATGGGGAATGGGAGCCACATGACCGGCGAAAACAAGGAGAAACGGTGGGAGTGAGCCGAGGTCGTAGATCCTCTCGGTTCTCTGAATCTCCATCCACTTCTCGATACGTCTCGTGTACCCACCTCGTCTCCACCTCTTCAGATCAATCACCATCACTCCCGTGTTGAAGTAACAAGGCCTCCTCCCTCTGAACGTCCCGGAGAATCTCTCCTCCGACCAGAACCCTCCGGTGAAGTATTTAGTGAAATTCGCGTGGCAATACTCCGGAGCCCCGATCACCCTCGGACCCAGACCCGTTTTCCAGAGCTTGGCGATGTCGTCGACAACGATGAGATCCGAGTCCAAGTATATGACCCGGTTGACACAACCTTCGAGAAGCTCCGCGAGGTAGTTTCTAGCGTAATTCAACGGCTGCTCGAGGGCCTGTCTGACGGAGGAAGAGATGAAGCCACGGACGGTCTCAGGGGCAAAATAGTAAACTTTGAATTTGAGTTGTTGAAAAGTCGATCTCACGAGTGTCTCCAGGTTCGTGTCGGAGGAGAGGATGAAGTGGAAGAAGACGTTCTCGGGGCACATTGAGTGCTGCAGGATGGAATTCACGGCCGCGATTGAGCCACGTAGGTACACCACGTCCAGCGTGATCGCCACGTGGACTAGCGAGGGGCTGCAGACGTTCGAATCCGCGGCGGAGGGGACACACTCGTCGTCCTCCGCGGCGTTGCGGAAGGCCGGGGATTTTCTGAACGATGAGATTACAGTCCGATCCGGATGTGACGACCGGATCGCCGCCGCGGGAGGGAACGACTGGAGCGACGGAGATAAGACGATCACTGCCATCGCGGCGGAGAAAAATGCGGAGAATCTCGTGATCCAGAGCATTTTCAAGAATCGATCCGAAACGCAAACGCGACTGATTGTTTCAATGCGAAAACGATAGAGTTTTGTTGCTTGGAGAAGAAGCGTCCATGAGACACCGGAAAAAAAGTGGAGAGGCGCAGGATAAGAGACAAGACGGAGAGGCGTAGGATAAGAAACAGTACAAGGCACCGTGCGCCGCAAGTGCACCCTAAAACCTTTCTTTCTCTTCCTGCCCGGAGCTCTGCAGCCAAAAGAAGAAGAAGAAGATGAAAGAGGGAGACAGAGAATCGATGGTTTAATTATTTAATTTTTAATAATTCTTCTATATAAACGAGAGAGAGAGAGAGTGAGTGAGAAGTGAAGGCATTTTTTACATATTTCATTATTTGTATTTTGCATCAGTATTTGTAATTGCTCGTATTTGATTATTATTTATGTCAAGTGGGATATTTTAATAAGAAAAAAATTTAATAAATTTGTGTTAAGTGTAACGATTAAAGACACAGCTGTCATTGTCTGTCTTCAATTCTATTTTTTTTTTCTATTATTACAACAATCTGATAAATGTTTTCTTCCTGTGTTATATCTGAACAATCATTTAAAGACGTAAATGTGATCCCAGTTATTACAAACATTACTAGTTACTAATGGTAGTTAAGTTTTTGGTTTATATGCTCAAAAAAAAAAAAAAAAGTTTTTGGTTTATATAACGTTCCCTCTATTTCTAAATAAGTATCACTTTTGGATACATTTTATGTGAATTTAAAAAGTGACAAAATATATTAACATAATCCTAACATATAGTTATTTAAATAAAAATAATTTAAATAGAAATCTATTGGTTGTATGAAAGGTAATAAAGCGATTATATGTAAAAAATCACATTCAAAATATAAAATAATATTTTTTGCAACAAAAAAGTAAATAGTAAAATAACACTTATTACAAAATAGAACGAGTATAATTTCATGATTATATTTTTCTTTTGCATGCTTACTTACTTAGAGAGAAAACAAAAAATAATAAATTGTTCATCAAAAATATCTAAATGTTACTACTTATTAGCTTTATTTTAGTTTTATTTACCAAGAGTTTGTTATTCATTTTTGTCTTTATTTTTTTTTATAAATTAATCTGAATAGGCAGATTCGATTACAAACCGACTCAGACAAAATTGATCAATTTAAAAGATTTTTATCACCTATCACGTGGTGCATTCTGCAAATCCAAAAACATAAATCCTATGTATCGAAAATCATTTTTAACCATTGACGATAACCAGGAGAAGGTGTGATTTACCGTATTGCTTCGGATGCTAGACTTCTTGTTCTGCCTCTTGAGTAGCAGATTTCTGGTGAACTCATTGAACTTGTAATATACGCAACATTAAGGCATAATGAACAAAATGAGAGAGGAGCTAATCTTATCTGAAGATAACACTGGCCCACACTTCTTCGACGTCAAGAACTGAGCAAGAAAACGGGCTGAAAACATCACCTTACCCTAACAAGATAATCTCTAACACTTGCACAATTAAGCCAAGCTACACTGCCACATAGATCAAGAGAATATTATGAAATTGGGATGAAAGCGAGAGCCAAATGGTGACACCAAGACGATTTATGACTCCTGAAAATCGCTTTGCTATTAGCATCATACGAAAACCAGAGGAACGTTAGTTTTGAATCAATGGTATTCATCCGTGGTGCCAACAAAGATGTTTTCAACACAATAAAACCAAAGACGAATGGACGTAGCACAACAAGAAGCCACTTGATGGCCATAGACGACCACCTAGAAGAATGACAAGCTGCAACCACACGAGCCGGAACAAGACTTAGGTATCATCACCGCCTTCGTACCGTTAGGTATCATCACCGCATTCATACCGCAAACCTAGACTCGTCCATGGAGAATGAAACCAACACAGCTTTATGATTGCAATGGAGAAGAACATGAGCCACCCGATACCAAGAAGATTCAAATAAACTAACTCTAACATTCAGAAGAACACCCATCTCGAGACAATAAAAAAACCCTCGTGAGTTATATTGAAGAAGCAATTATCACTTTACGCCAACAACGATAAGATCTAGAGGAGATCAAAGATTAAAAACTAATCCACTCTCAAATCTTAAATGTTAAGTCGCTGAATGCCAATGTCGAATTAAAATTGATACTGAATTTAAGAGAGAATAAATAAGAGAAAATCACTCTATATATTAGTTTGAAATGATTATTTAGCAGTTTTATTAATGTATTAATGGAAGTTAAAGAAAATATGTCAACTTCCAAAAGAAGAAAGGTAAATTTACCAGAAAAGAGCGTAATCTAAACTTTTATAAACAGATGCATGCATTATTAACAAAGTGACAAATTAATTTTATGATTTGACAATGTCTTATCAATTAAATAATTATATCAGATTGCAATTTATATTCGGTAATTTATTTTCGTTTAAAAAGAAAATTATCTATATTTTTGTTTGATCAAAAAAACTTATATTCATAATTGATTCATTAAAATAAGAATGTACAGTAGTTAATAAAGTTTGTAATTTAATTTATATGTCGACAAAAAATTACTCTATTTCATGTTTTTGCCGTTCAAAAACAATTTAATATTCATATTATTACGTTGTCGTTTAGTCTGTCAGAATCGACACGGCTACTGGGAATCTTAAATTTTACCTTTGGTAAATGAAACCTAACACGTACGTTAACGTACCCTTAACCTTAAGTAGAGAACAAGAGAAGCTTTGAGTTCTTTTTTTTTTTTCTGAACAACTTTGTGTTCTTTCTTTATCGTTCTTTTAATATATTTTGTTGGTCTTTGAAGCACATGGTATTGGTGACAGTCCGTACGGTCTACGCTTCAGAATCACATAGGCCCATTACAATTCAAAACCAGCCTGGCTTCCACCCCGGGTCCTGAGTCTTTGACTCGGATTCTCACCCAGGTTTCTGTCACATGGGTCCCAAAAACGCAACCCGGACCCGACTCATTTTCTTTTCTCTGAGGAAATGAGATTAAGACGGAACATGTATGAAGTTTTGATCATCCGTATCGAGAAGAACTATTCAAGAGCTATTGTTATGATAAAAGCTACAGACCAGTCTTCTATGCAACTCAAAAATAAATATCAATGTTAGCTTTAAAAAACGATATCATAAACTAAAGTAATAATCACCCGATTCACCTCCTCCTCCATAACTCACATGTGAATATTTCACAAGTTTTGGTAGATAATTAAGTCTTTGACGGTGGGACTATTCGTCTCGTTGTTGATAATTGTTGTCATTGACCACAATAAACTGAGAAGAGCTCTCGCTTAATTAATAATTACTACGACTTCTTTAGTTTGTAAGTTGTAACTTAACACATCTTGATTTTTTGTAAGATGAAATATAACTCGTGAAATATTCCATTCCTTTTAAAGGTGGATCTAAGATAATACAGAAAAATAACTTGTGAATTGTAGTATATAAAAAAAAAGTTGTTTATTTTCTATGTTGGTCCCAAAAAAGATGTCTTCCTATTTTCTTTAAAGACCTCTCATCAATATCAACTTTGGAATGTGATTCTCTTTAAATTTTACAGCTTGTGGGGGATGAAGGATGATAAACACATAAGGAATCTTGGTGAAGAACCAAACTGAAACCTTTTTTAGACCATGTGAAAACTGTCTCTTATCATCCTTTATGCTCGAATCAGATCTATTGTGCATCTAAAATATTAAAACTGAAGTACAAATTTAAAATACCCCTTAGTTTTCCTCAATAATTACCAAGTTATGCCACTGAGATTAAACTCAACATTTTGTTTCTTTTCTAAACCGGCAAATTTTCTAAACCGGCAAACACGTTTGCTTAATTATTATACAGTTAAAGTTTGCTTAATTATTAAACCGTATAATTATAAAACCATTACTAACCCACATTCTACCAATTTCTTACATATGGTTCTATACATTACTAAACTTCTACATTACAAAACAATCAAAATAGCATCGTCGCTTACCTACACACCGTTGTATATCATTTATAAATGATCGAATTTAAATTTGATACTAAGTTCCTTCATCGCATCAGATATCCAGTTTTGTGTGTGCAGAAACAAAACGAGTGTATCAGCTATATACAAATATATGTCATAGATCAAGATCATAATTTATATCAATATTATTCGAAACCATGTTATTCAACATCAATAATAGCCTAAACAACACAATTTTTTCACAATAAATTTTTAATTCAAACTCAAAAAATCATTTATTATTTTCCTAAAGGAAATTAACTTACACAATCTATTCATATCTTTCAGCAATTATCATAACAATTACAAAATCATTTTTTGGTCTATAATCTTACAAATCACGTAAAACATTTATTATTTACCTATAACATCTTACCTTCCACTATCTGTTCCTATATTTAAGCATTCATCTTAACAAATACCATATCAATTAACTACCACAATATTTTTCTTTGCCTTTAAATCTTGCATATCATGTAAAATATCTAAATTTTCTCAACTTCTATTCGTTTATTACGTTTAGCAACTAACATACGAATCAAACTTGGAATAAAATCGTACTGGATATTCGCTATTTAATACTAAAAATTTACAACTAACAAAGCTTTAGATATTAATATGAGATTTACTCTAACCTTCCCTAACTAGCTATATATACCTCTTCCGCAAATCCTCAAAAATGTCTACTATAACTACTTTCACGACGAGTTCAAGTTAAGTGCTTACATTCTTGCAGTATGAACACAGTTCTTGGAGATGCTTTTGAGATGGTTTTAGCAGACCAATGGGTAAACCAATATTTCTAAATGTTTGTTGTGTTATAAAAGGTTATTGCTTTAACAATCTAAACTAATATTGCCTCTGTTTTTTTTGGTAGAGAAACAAAATCCAAGCCTGTAGCAAACGAACAAACATGTACCGTGTTCAGCGTGCTATACCAGTTACAATTGATGGTCATCTCTCTCTTTCAACATGTCTCTGCCTGGGCTTTTTATATATCCCTTCTCTCCCATGTCCCTCTGTTTCTCCTTAAAGAGTTGTTGGTCTATCTTACTAAACATCATGCGAGATCAACAATTAAAAGATATAAAAGTGGGCATTTTATCAGAACTAAGACAATCAAGTGAAACTGACATTTGTAACTACAAATTGTCTATGATCGTCATATTTAATCAGAACTATAATAATGAATCCAATTTGTTAACTCTGGCCATTCTACTCTTGAGCTAAAGATCTTGACTTCTGTTTCATATTACTTAGATCATCTAAACTATGATATTAAATTATATGAGTGTTCTTTCTCTAAAAAAAAATAAACTATGATATTAAGCAGAAAATTCTAGATTAGACTTACCTTTGCAACGAAAAAAGATCTGACATCAACGCGAAGATCTTCGAACTATTACTTAGA